ATCGACCACCGCCTCATTGCTCTCGATCAGGTGAATCGCTCTCGATAGAATTATCGTCAGAAAATTTACGAAGTCTCGATTACTCAGCGATACCGAAATTATAACGCTTAGAACATTCCGTATCGAGCACACAGTTACCGCTATTAGACGAGCCTGTCAACTGTGTTTACTTTCAGCGGACCGTCGCGAAGAACCCAGCCAGGAAAAACGGGAGCGCCGATGGAAGATCCATGACGGCAACAGTGTCTCTAGACAGGAAATGTCTCGAGACCAAAACATAGAAAATTGTCAATTCCCGAATGCCGAGGCTCGCAGGGCGAAAGAGGCAGCGACGGAGGAGGACCTGCGAGGATACGCGATCCTCCGGGAGCCGACGGACCGCCAGCCTTACCGCGACTATAAGCAGAGTACCGTTGCCGATAACTACCGTGTGTGCAGAGAGAGAGAGAGAGAGAGAGAGAGAGAGAGAGAAAGCGGAACAAGGAGCGGAGGCCGGGAGAAAACAACAGCGTTGGGGAGAAAGAGAGAGAGAGAGAGAGAGCACGAGAGCAGAGCGCAACCCCGATCCTACAGGAGGATCACCGTCGTCATTGTCGCCGCCGCCAACACCCGGGACGCCGCCGATCACTGTAAGATTACTATATCTGCACCACATTTTATCGCGTTTTCATCTCGTCTCGGTTAACATTGTCTCGCGAATCGGCCGTGCGTGGGTTAAGGCTCACCCGAGGAGATCGTTCTCGGGTTTTTCATTTTCGCGAGCATCTTGTCGTATCGCGATTAATGACCGTTTTAGTGAATATTGCCGCGCTTTTTACCGAGACGTGCGAGTGTCCCGCGAATAAACAAATTACACCAGAACACGCGTGTCGTCATTTACGCCTTTCCTGAACCCATCCCGTCTCCGACTTAAAATCACGAAGAGCTACCGGTCTCGACGGTCTCCGTGATCCGCGCTTTTTGTGTTATTTATCGCATTTCGCATTTATTGAGGTGGTGTGGCCTTTTCCGCACCTGGCGCCCAACTATCGTCTTCGTTTTTATGGCGTGAACCTAAGCCGACGGCAAATTGCCGACGCGACGGACAGGCAACTGTCTGCCGTCGATCGCGGATATATCGTCGGTATATATATATATATATATATATATATATATATATATATATATAT